ATGTTGTAACCATATTTGGGTAACCCTATTTCCCCATGAAGCCTCCCAAAAAGTGTTTAGTGCTAGCAAACATGTGCAGTAGGCTAGTGAGGGCAAAACTAAGTTTCAAACTGCACATAAATTCCAAAAACTGAAGTTATATAGCTATTCCCATGTCATGTAGGAAAGAGAAATGGGATTTAACCCAGTCAGTCAGTGACTGGTGTCAGCATTAAATGGACAACATTATAGATCCATGCTTGCTTCAATTGTTTACCAGCAACAGACTCAAACCAAGCTGCTTGAAAAACTCTCTAGAGGCTCACTAATCTGGACTTTGGTATTTCAACAGTGTTGCTCACTTTCCTCACCACAGAAAATAAGAACAAGGATAAAGAAAACTGAGTTTCCTCTGAATTCCCAAGCAAATCATTGTAATAATTAACAGTAATTTCTTTGGCATCCAGGATGCCATTAAATGATCTGTACAGCTGTTTGTGTGCAATTGTGTTCTGTGGAATAAATATATCACCCCTTGTCAGAAACAAATAAATAAACCAAAAAGAAACCCAAATATTGCATCCATTTTTGTGTATTATGTATGAAAGAACCATATAAAAAATTCTAGAAGTAAATAATGTTCTTTTTACCATGCTGCATACCAACTTTTTTTCCCTTACCATTATAAAAAATGAGCATTTTGGCTGTCAAATGTTATTTGTTTGAGAAAAAAAATGTGTTGCTGTACATTGAAGAGTATGATTTTAACATTCAGGTCAATACATTCTGTACTTTTTGTTTTATGGGTTAGCATCTTTGGCATACCAATCACTACAGCCATTACACTTTATAATACTGAGAAATAGGCAGGGGAATCTTTCAGATTTTCTTATGTGTTGCTTTGTTTGCTTGACATATTTTTCCTAAATTTCAGCTTCACAGCATTGTGTCTGATACCTGCACAAGAAATTACACAAATTACCATCGATTTGTGGATAGGCCTGTGTGAGACATCATCTATCAGTGAGGTAAACAGCTAAACAAACACATGGAGTCAAGAACAAGTAATGCTGATATTATGTCAAGGAATATAATCAATAACTAGTGAGAAGATATTTTTAAACTCTTTGGAAGGAATTGAAGAAGCTGAGGATTGAGAATATTTTTATAAATATTAAAACACTTTATATGAATTATAAACTTTGATTTCTATATTTGTAAGTTAATGACTGCATTCACACTGCAATTCCACTCACTCTTTCGGAGCTCTGTCATCATAATGGTGTTCAGTAAACTGCTGGAAGCTCCTACTGACTGACTTAGGTTTGCAGCCACTTTGCATAATTAAAAATGAGGCTGGACACTCAGACAATACATTTATATTCTAATGTCTGTAGTGCACAGCTATAAATGCAGAAGACAGATGGGTCTGAGGGTATGGATATACACATGCCCTTATGTAATGTGTGTCCATATTTATGAAGATGACATTGATTTAAATATTCTGTCATGTATGGATTTTGTACACCACAAATGCTTATGTAGAAATGGATGTAGTGTCAGTAACTCTGAAAGAGTAGGATGGAGGAAAATCATATTAAATAATTATAACTCATTCTGGGAATTTGGATTTACAAGCCCCTTATTTTGTTTTTTTTCTCTTCTCTGATGTATTTGACTGCATCATCCTGTTTATCAATAGCTAAAATACACCTAAACTGACCTGATCATTGGACTTGACTAGAAATCACTAGTCAACAGATGAACTAGGACTACTGCAGAACAAGAGATTATTAAATGACTGGGATTAGCACAGAATAGGATGCATTACTATAAAAATGCACTTTAAGGGTCAGATTGCATGTTTTCCCTTCTATGGTGTGCAAAGTGTAGGAGGGTTTCTGGTTCACTTTATCTTTGTTGTAACCAGTTTCTGAGTTCAGACCTGCAAGATCCAGTTGAAAGTGGCTTTGATAGTTACTCCATGAATAGAAGAGAAGATTGGGGTCATGGCCTTGAAATTCATCTTCAAAAACTTGCACAGCTGGCAAAAGAAGCCCAAGCTGCATGGTCTTAAAAGAGCAGAAGGGCTGTGTTCTTAGTTTGTGTACCTGGGAGCTCTGGAATGCACTATTCCTTACTCACACAACACGGTACTATATTTAGGGTAATTCCATCCTCCCATGTAACAGCACGAACAATGCAATCAGTGCAATTCTTTTTTCCAAATAAATAGCAAATATCGAAGTGTGCTACAAAAGTTCAGTGACTGTATTCTAGGTCTAGGGGTATAGAAACCTGGAGTCATGAGGCCAAAATTTAAAATTGAACCAAGCAGATGCTGTGATGCCTGAATACAAAAGTAAATGAGATCATTTCTAGATGCCTTAAACACAGTCTAACCAGTAGGAACCACTTCTAGAGATATATAGTAGGGGTGTGCAAAATGGGCCATATTCAATTCAGATTAGGCCCAAATCAGAGACAGTGATTAGATTCATTGATTTGGATCACTGTCCCTGATTCAATTCTGCTGAATCCATATCTGAAGATTCAATGCTGATTCAGAGAATCAGTGATTTGGCCATAAGCACAGCTTTAAGATGTTTTGTCTACATACCTCAAGGTACCAGGCACGGCTTGTGAACACTGAGTTGGTGGGGCAGATGAAGTGTCCCACAGGAGTGCAGTGGGCTGCCCCGCATGCTCAGCAGCAAACCCGGAAGTGGGCCGGAAGCCAAGTGCACTGCCCCCCGCCCCCATCTCTCTCGCTCGGTGATTGGTCATGGGGGGACCTAGGAGGCACCAGTCACTGAGCCGGGTGGCGCGCTCCCCGGCAGACACGGAAGTGGACCAGAAGTGCTTCTGGTCCACTTCTGGGTCTGCTGCTGAGTGTGCTGGGGAGCCTCCCTGTGCTCCTGTGGGACACTCCATGTGCCCCAGCATCTCAGCATTCACGAGCCACCTGGTACCTTGAGGTATGTAGAAAAAACATTTAAAGCTGTGTCTGTGTCTGAATCATTGAATCTCTCTGAATTGATTCAGAGGGTTCTGATTTTATTGGAAGAGATTAAAGGGTCTCTTGATTCTATTTGGATTCTGAGATTCGGCCACCAAATTGGGCTGAATCTCCGCCAGATCGATTCAGGGACTGAAGCTTCGTACAGCCCTACAATATAGGTAGACTCTGAGATGTATAGGCAGAATCTGAGTTCTCTAATAGAACATGAGTCATGGAGACATAACACTTCTGTGACCGCTTTTTATGAACAGGGACCTGCTGGAAATAGAGACAACTGAGGGAATAATTAAGTTCTTAGCATGCATCATAGTTAACCCTCATTAAATACTTAACTGTAATTAATTGGCATTTAATTAACCTAAAATTATACTAAATTTAAAATCTTCAACAGTTTATGTAATAATCTTTGTACATGATCAACTCTGAAGCAATTAATAAATATGTCTTCTAATTTGTTCTTAAAATCTAGGCTTCAGTTATGCAGTTATTTCCATTTATGAGCTTTAATAAATATGTTAATTAAATATGGAATTTTCATTTAGTAAACATAACTCCACCTCCAAGTTGCTTGAGTCATGTAGTTAAAAGTCTGATCAAGATTTATGGCTAGCACTCATGAAAAATGTCCTCATACATATTTATTCACCAACAATCAAAAAAGGTTAAAGAATAACACAGAGCAAATATAAAATTGCATTTCATTTTGGGCACTTGAAATCTGGGAAAACATTCTAGCTTTTTATATCTTTATAGAATATAAATTATCACAGCAGCTGTTGACATGGAGTTTGCTTCAAAGTTGATAGAGATGGCAGGAGGGGGAAGGGGATTATATCTAGAAAAACAATCAGTTAAAAAGTTTATTGCATGAAACTACTTGTGGGGAATTAACATTGAATAAATTTAAATTTCACTTCTCTCAAAAGGTCAGTAGGAAGGTAATGTCTGCATGCATTTAGGTAGCACTTGGTTGAAACATCCCTAATGAAGGTCTGTCATTTCTGTGCTTATGTGATTGGCAGAGTCTACGAACTCTGTACAAATACAAAAAAGAATTATCACGTCTTTCCACGTTATGCAGTATGGTGACATAAATTCCTTGCTACAGAAGAAACTGTACAAGATGTAGACAATATCTTTACACTTTTTCATGGGCAAGATCCCAATCATTTCCTAGGCAATTATGAACGTAGATACACATTACGAACACAATAGCAGTTCTACAAAATTGCTTTAAAACCTTACTAGGTTGTTATTTAAATAATCATTTCCATCTCATTGATAAGGAAAACATATTGCACTTTTATGTTATTTCAAAGACATTATATATATATATATAGTTAATTTGAAAAATTCTGCTCCAAGCTATTCCTCAAAATAAATACATACATACATAAATAAAAATAATTTTGAACCTCAACAGATTAAACAGACATAAAAATGATTAGCTGGTTCAATTTTTTTAAAAAATCAATTTTTCTTTTCTTTCTTTACCAGTCTCAATAGTTTTTAGTTTTATATAGTTGCTGTGTCAGTCTTAACCAAGAATGATAACACAAGTGTTCTGTTCTTTGGTGCTTCTAATACTAGTCCCAGAGGAAAAACTCAATACTAAGGAAAGTGAAAGAAAAAAGCAAGCCAACAAATAAACAAGCTAAATTAAGTAAACTTTTCTCAACCTCCAAAAAGGTTCAGCTCCAGTTTTTAGTAATAAGTCAAGTGAACCTACATTTTTTATCATTCTCTGTTTGCAAAATGTGACACTCATTATAAAATCAGTAGTTGCTAACCTGAATAGAATCTATTAAAATATTTGATTTATAATTGGTGTTTGTAGGATTGCATTACTGAGGATTTGCGCTTACATACAGAATATTTTTAAATTTTCATTTTTTTGCTTTTTATTCACTTTAACTCAGAAAACCTTATGGCCCAAATCAGAAGATAAGAAAATAGTTTAGTAATGTGTATACATCAATTTGGGACTAAGCATATTTACCTTGACAAGCTGGAACTGGTGCATCCCATGTATAATATCCATGTGGAGATTTCCTGCACACAGCAGTACTTTTCCCAACAAGCCTAAAACCTCGATCACAAGCCCAACGAACGACACTGTTTAGCTGTCCGCCTGTCTGACTGACAATGAATCCATGGGGAGGGGACTCTGGAGTACTACAATAAAGAGCTTTAAAAGAAAACAAAATCCTGTGTTAAATTTAGTACCTAAATCTGACAATCTTATTCAATTTCTTCACAAACTCTTACTAAATTCTGCAGGCATGTGTCTGTGCTATTGGAGGGAACTTTTCAAAACACAGCCATCTTGGGAAGGCCTGAAAAACCCTCTTGATTAATGGGGGTGACTAATGCATACATAGGGTGTACCATTGAGGATAAGGGAAGTAACCACTATCCTAGCAAGTAGGTTTGAGAGTGTGTGAGAGGTTGCCCCCCACCCCGGGTGGGGCGGGGGGGATGAGTTCTGTGAGACTCTTTGTGAGAAAGGGCAGAGTCTTCTTGTCTGAACTGGTGTGTTCAGTAGAAAACATTGACTGATCAAGCCTCTTGCTGTCAGAGTGAAAAAATCTATCCAGTATCCCAGGAACTGAAAGAGGTCCCAGGAAATTTTAATAACTTATCTCTCAACCAGAGACACATGCACCCTGATCTGAGGCCCTGATGGGGAAAAAAAATGTAAATTGGATCCAAATATAAATCGTGGATCCATAAGTCCATTGGTTCCATCCAGAGGCACCAATGAAGGTGGATTCAACCAGTACTGAAAGCATCTCTCAGAGGGTTGAATAGCTACGGTAAGAAGGTGGTGGATCCCGTGTAACCTAGAGTTTCAGGCATGAATATCAAGAACTAAACATTAAGAACTGGAACAGAGTGGAGGTGTCCAGGAGCAGCTATTTCAGTTTAGCATTTTTTTCCTTCTTTTTTGGTTCCCTATTACAAACTCAGAAAAGAAGTAGTTCTCAGGGACGGTGAAGCTGGTTTGCAGCTTATTTGCCATCAAGGAGCAGTATAAGGTACATATATTGTGGTTTTTAATGTTTTCTTGTAAGGTTTTCATTCATTGTTTGTTGCCCATTTGTTATTGTAGTAAAAAGATAATTGGACCTTTTTTGTTCATTACTAGTCACTGAGGCAAATTTAATGCCAAGTACCCCATACAAGGTACTACTGGTTTATAGATGTATATAGTGAACCCAGAGGGGTTGTGCACTTAAAATTGTATAGTCTTTATACAAGCGCTAATAAAACTTGCTAAAGGCCCTTGTTTTGCCCCCTTATCTACAATGAAGACTAATTTCTTCAGGAAATGATTTTACTGAAAGCAAACCATAAGACTTTTATAAGTCTTCAGGGATTTGGATGCAAGATGGCAAAGATGAAGTCATTACTCATTTGCATAACTGTACAATACTAATTTCTCAGTTAAATAACATAACACACGCATATTTTGTCCCATGACAATTTAAAAATAATTATATAAATAGTTACTATTAAGTAGAATGCTCTGAATAAATCAAAAGAGCAAAGTATAAACAAAAGTTTTTTGTTTCAGATTATAGAAAATAAGTTATGAATATAAGAAATATAAAGTCAACAATTACTAATGAACTAATAAAAATTTAGTTCATACAGACTTAACTTTATTTTTATCATGAAAAACAGGGATCCATCCTGTTCGCTGGTGGTTTCTGCAGTATTTGCTAGTGACATAAAACCAAGTCACCTCCTTCCCTCCCTGTGGTCCACCAACCATTATTTCCAACTAAAGTGTTGAGAATCTGCCTTACATATTCCTTAGAAACAGAACCTTAGGGTTCTCTTTCCAACCCCTACAAAGGATCAAGGAGGCCTTACGGATAGAGAAAATAAATACAATGTAATATGTTGTGTCTAGCCATCAGTGAACTCCGTCTGACTACACTGTAAACACATTTATCTCCCAAAAATCTGCTTCCCTTTAAGTAGTAAGGAGCAGACCCTATTTGATAGACTTTTGTGCCAAAGCTAATTATTTTTCTGCTTCACTTGAATTAACTGAAAATGGAGATGAGAAACAAATGCATACTAAACAGAAAATTTCCAGATTTATTCTCCACTGCTTTGTCTCCTTTATAAAGTTAAATAATATACTGCTATTAATGTCCTCAGTATTGACAGTTACATTGTTTTACAAGTGATTCTCCCAGTATTTTTAATCCACAGTACTGTCTTTAATTGCCTAAGGATTTTTTGCAAGAGCCCAATGTTAGAACGATTAATGAAAACCTAAACTTTGTTTAACCCCCATGACAATGCCTCCAGAAAAATGTATGTTGTGTGTAATTATGGCATTTAAGTGTTAAGTATCAGCCTATGTTTATATCAATAAATATATTCAATTGAAGCAATGAAGGTAAGACGTTTTTATTTTTCTCTTTGACACATTCTTTGTTGCAATATCAAGTGTCTTTCTGCTTCTTCTGAACTTTAAATTTAATGGATCAAATGCTTCTTCTAACCTTTTGGCTGAAATCACCACCAAGGCACAAGAAGCAAACATTTATTCTTTGGTGGAAAGTATTCCAGTAATTGAATAGAAATTAAATACCAATCACTTGTTTTCCTATGACAATAATTCAGGCCCTTGCCATGAGAGGGTCCATGTTGCTATGTCATACAAGGATGGCAGCATGGAAGGCAGAGCATTCCTCAATAACATGGAGGCAATGACTACCTTTGTTGTATCTATCCATCTTCTGTTTAATTTTTGTTGCTTCTTTTTCTGTGAATAAAGTAGCAGCCAGGAGTTGTGCCAGGTAGCAATACTGAAGATTTTACCAATATGATACTTGTTTATCAAACAATGGCAAAATATGTACTGTATTTAGGGTTCCATCATTAGAACAAGTCTGGTCGCTTCCCCAGCACAGCACTTCTTTTATGCCTTCCTTTGCGCACATTGCAGGAACTCTGTCCCCTTTGGTTAGAAGTCAAATTAAGTCTTGTCCAGATTTAATGAAAAACAAGACCCCAGGTCACTACTATTTTTGTTGTTGTTGTTCTGAACATCATAAATTTAAGCACAGACTCTTTATAAGAGCATATTTTGTATATAAATCCCGCTTAGAATATTATTTTACACTGAATCAATTTTATCTGGTTCAAATATAAAACATATTTGATTTCCTTTTGTATTTTGAAAGTCTAGTGACATAAAAGCAGCCTAGAGCATCTTTTAACATAAGCAAGTCTGTTCCATAATTAAGTTTTATGTAGACTGGGGAAATATACACAGATACACATTTGACTTACATACCTATATATCTTATCCTGAAACCTTTTTTGTTTGTGCCGTGATCTGCTGACCAACGAAGAAACACTTCATGACTATTGCTGGTTATATTAAGAGTGGATGAGTAGTCTCCACTAAGGGAAATAAGCAATGGGCTGTGACTATTTGGACCTGGGTACAAGAGGATGAAAAAAAAAAGGGAAAATGAAAACTTTAAAATTAGCAATATAAAAAATGTTCCTTAAGCAACTGGTAAATGAAAAAAAAGTAATAATGGAGTTTACAGTAGCTACATGCAGTATATTACAGAATGCATTGCACATGTGTTAATTTTTAAATATACAAGTAATGTAGGCTGGAAACAAATGATGTAATCCAATACTTCTGCTCACCAAGTTAAAGAATGCTTATTTAGACCAAGTGTTGGCCATGTACAGTCCATGGGCTGGATCTGGCTCACAAAGGGCTTGGATCAGCCTGTGAAGGTCTGATTTGGAAGCTGGTGGGGGGCATAGGTGAAATTAATGTGGCAACTTAAAGCCTCTTGCTCTGTGCCCTTGACACTACATTTGTCATTTCCCTTTGATATTTGGCATGGTTTTTGGTGGCACGCAGTAAGCAGAGGGCTGCATGGAGCAGGGAGGGGATCAGAGGAGTAGGGGACTGAGGGTAGGGGTGGGTGATAGGCAGCCCATGGCAGCATTTATGTTGCAAATGCCCAGCCTGTCACTCCAAAAGGTTGTTGACCTCTAGCTTGAGAAATGAATGAAAAAACCCAAACAAGCAAAATAGTAATGGCATGCACAAATCTTAGGGAGTCAGGGGTGGTAAAGGAATATATAAAACAGTATCTAAAGTTGTGAATTGTGTAGTTACCATCAAACACCTCAAGTATATCAAATTCCTTTTCTGTCTGGAAGAATTCAAAGAACATGCTGATGTTGTAACCCTTTTCCACAGTAATGGTCCATGCACACATTTGGAGGTTTGGGTAGCTGTCAGGGTAACCAGGGCTCAATATGACGCCGGTTGAATCTAGGCGCATTTCATTGGCAGGGCAGAGCACTGTGAAGCACAAAGATTATTTCACAATCTCTAGTAACAACTATCTTTTTATGAATGAAATGATATTTTTCTAACTTCTAAGGATCTGCCTAGTAATTTCATTTCCATAACAGGGAACACCATCACACAGTTAATTAAGGAGCAGCAGACAAAACTTGTACAGCATTAGCAAGTATTTTTAAGCTTGCCATGAAAAACAGGGTAAGCCTGAGAAATCACTGACTTTATTTTCTTTATATTATCTAAATGACATACTGTTCTTTCAGACTGTGGGTTAAATAAGTCTTGCTGGATTGTTCAGACAATAAACAATGGCATTTTTATTCCTTTTCATAATAACAATAGATATGAAAATACTGTGAACCAAACTAAAAGGCATCAGTGTAGTCTCTGCTTATCAGACTATAAATAACAAATCATAGTTTATTTGAAAGACATCATTATTAATTTAACAAAAATATTTTTTGCCTTTGGCCTATAATAATATTTTTTCCATGTTTGCAATTCCTAGATTGTCTGTTGCTTTGATCAGCAATGAAATTGACTCAAAATTGCTGTCAGTTCTCATGGATCATTTGGTGCCCCTTCTTTGATTCAATGTCTCATAGCACCGAGCGAGAAGAAGAACTTTCTAGTCTATTCCTGGCTCTGCCACTGACTCTGCCTGATGTTGGGCTGCTCAACTAATCTTTTCTTAATGCTATTTAAAACGGAATAGAAGAGGTCTAATCAAACAAGGAGCAGGTCCTTAAAAATAAGGGTTAGGATTAACAACAACAAAAATCAAGAACTCTGCCAAAGGGTTTCTGTCATTTATGTTTTAAAAGCAGCTATAATATATAACACAGGATTTTTGAAACTCCATGTATGATGGTATTCTTATATCTTCGTAAATATAATTGATATACTACTACAAGATTGATTCATCATGCACATCTAATCCATTATATCCTTAAATCACCCTTTTTATTTTCTAATGAGATGTGCACACTACAATGCATTTGCTTGTAGTATGGTACATTTTCAAGTTCAAACAGCCCCGTATTTTTCTCCGATCTAACAAAGAGACAGATTCTTTCTTGGATGACTAGGTGTTGGTCAGCTGAAGCAGAAGTTTAGAGAAATGCAGACCAAAAGTCCCAAGTTCTTTATTGCTGACAGCTTTTGTTCCTATAGTCAGCCATGGAAAACAAGAAATGAACTAAGCATTACCCTTGGCCAGCCAGAAACAGGGAGAGTGAAAAACATGGACCCCAGAATATGAATAAATATCATGCTGGTTGAAAAGAAAAGTACTGCCTGCACCCTTTCCCATTGTAGGTTTCATTTTTTGTCATCAACTACTGGTTAGCACAACCTTATTTCACTCCAAGGAATTGTTTTCCTTATTTTTCACAGCAGAGCCTGGAGTTATTCATCTTCCACATGCAGCTATGCAAGAGAATATATTGTAACCCATCTGTATTAACTGTCACTGACTATAGCCATAATGCTCTGGGGGCCTGGGGGGGGTGGGGCAGGGGGAAGAGGGTGGAAGGGGAGGAA